GAAAAAAAAAAAAAAAAAAAAAAAAAAAAAAAAAAAAAATATAAAATTTCGCGCTACTGAGCTGGTCCATTATATAAAATTAAATATATATCTCCTATTTTAGTTGCGTATCCCAGATGGTTCGGACTGGGCTGAAGAGCCAGCACAACAAGGACTTATTATTATTATTATTATTATTATTATTATTATTATTATTATTATTATTATTATTATTATTATTATTATTATTATTATTATTTTCATTATTATTATTTGATTGAAATTAGCACATTATTTTACGAAAAAAACTATTATTTAAAGGAGTTACTAATATAATACATTAATTGTTATTATATTATATTTTTTTTTAAATTAAAATACTATTACAAATTGAAATATAGAGATGGCTTATAGTTATAAAATTTAGAATGTATTATTTAAGAGGAATTATATGTTGTAAACTATTTTGTATGTGGTTTTTAGAAACTATCCTTTTTTTTTGAGGGATTTTAGCTCGTAAATTCATTTTATCTAAAGTCATGTATAAATCAGTCCACAAAACTATACTTTGAACCATGTACTCCTTTTAAGTTTCGCTAATAGTTAGTTCCTCGCCTTTTTTGATGGAACGATTCTATGATCAACGATGAAGAGCATTAAACTTAGCTAGAATTTGATGAAACCACAAAGTAAAAAAGTGCAGAGATTCTATCCATTTTTCGAAGAGGAGAAAATGAAAGATATAATGAATATCTCTACTAGGTATTGAAGAACCAACGAATTTGGATTAGCAACTCCACTTTTTATTGCTACAGTAGCAAGAAGCTCCAACAAAGTCTCGATTACAATGAAAGAAAGTTGATGATTATGGTGCACGAGAACATTCTAAGACTTCAACGCATAATTGACTCTCACTATATATGTCAATTTTTCAAGACAGAAGGTTAGAAAGGCAGCAACGTAGACGAGCAGAGCTACGATATAACACTAGAGACTGACCTGTATATATATGCATCCAGGCAAAAGAGATTTACCAACAAATGTTATTATATCTATAATGTATTAAACTAAATTTATTTGGAAATAATAAACAAATTTCATTTTTGACATAAAATAATAAGCTAATTAATATTCATATATTTCAATTTCGAAAAAATAGGACTAAAAAGGAGAGGATGAGAGTACAGGTGTAAATGAGCCGATGAAAGAATGGCTTTCGCTGCTAATTTGAGCCGACCACTTCTTCTCAGCGCCGCCAACCAAATACACACCGCCGCCTTTCCCTTCCTCCTCCGCCGCTCTCCGCTCATCCGCCACACCCGCCTCTACTCCTCATCTCGTAATGTGGTCGAAATCCTCGAAGAGAGAGGCCTTCTCGAGTCCCTCACCGGCGACGCCCTCCGCCGCCAAAACCACCCTCCCCTCCGAGTCTACTGCGGATTCGACCCCACCGCCGAGAGCCTCCACCTCGGCAACCTCTTAGCCCTAATCGTCCTCTCCTGGTTCCTCCGCTGCGGCCACAACGCCGTCGCCCTAATCGGCGGCGCCACCGCTCGCGTCGGAGATCCCTCCGGCAAGAGCCTCGAGCGCCCCGAACTCGACCCGATCTCACTCGAGAAGAACATCTCCGCAATTTCCGCCACCGTCACCGCCATTTTAGGTCGCAACAACACCTCAATTTCACCATCGTCCACATCTCCGATCGCAATTCTGAACAATTACGACTGGTGGAAAGACGTGAAGCTGCTCGATTTCCTGAGCGAGGTCGGCCGATTCGCCAGAGTCGGCACGATGATGTCGAAAGACAGCGTACGGAAGCGGCTCGAATCGGATTCAGGCATGAGCTACACCGAGTTCACATACCAATTACTCCAAGGCCACGATTTCCTCCGCCTTTTCCGCGATCAAGGCGTCAACGTTCAGATCGGCGGCAGCGACCAATGGGGGAACATCACCGCCGGCACAGATCTCATCCGCAAAATCCTCCAAACCGAAGGAGCGTACGGACTCACATTCCCCCTCCTCCTCAAAAGCGACGGCATCAAATTCGGAAAATCCGAAGACGGTGCAATTTGGCTCTCCCCTTCGTTACTTTCCCCCTACCAGTTCTACCAGTACTTCTTCTCGATTTCCGATACAGACGTTGTCCGGTTCCTCAAAATCTTAACCTTCCTCAGCATCGACGAAATTTCGCAAATCGAGACCGAAATGCGTGGCCCAAATTATGTACCGAATTCCGCCCAGAGAAAGCTCGCAGAGGAGGTGACGCGTTTCGTCCATGGCGAAGAAGGATTGGAGGAAGCTATGAAGGCCACTATGGCATTGAGGCCTGGTTCAGAAACGAAATTGGATTGGAATAGTATCGAGAGTATAGCGGAGGATGTGCCTTCGGTTTCTTTGGAGAAGGATCGGGTTTTGAACCTATCGCTTTTGGATCTCTCTGTTTGTAGCGGCTTGCTCGATAGTAAATCGGCTGCGAGGCGAATGCTGAAGCAAGGTGGGCTTTACTTGAACAATAACAGAGTTGATAGCGAGGGTAGGAGAATCGAGATTGACGATATTGTGGATGGGAAAGTTATTCTTTTATCAGCCGGGAAGAAGAACAAGATGATTGTGAGGATATCTTGATTAGCTTCTTATGAGTTTTGAATTTTTTTAAAGGTACGATATACTTTCTATCATCGGAATCTGTGTTAGATTTTTTTATGGTGAAGAGATAATTCGGCTTGCCAGTGGAAAACGCAGTTCTTTCATCACATAATCTTACGTTTCCCGTCATGAAAAAAATTGCCTATACTTGGGTTTTTGGTGTCGATTGCCCTGAGAATGTTCTAGAAAGCTAACTTCATAACGACTATCCCCATGCGTATACTTGGCTTACGGTAGATCGTTTTAGTCATTTTGTAGTTTAGGATTTTGAGATGCATCTTGATAAATTTTTTTGTTCCATCCGAATCTTCTTATGTATTTCTCGACCCCGTAAAGTCAAAAGCGCTCGTTTAGTTGGTATACATTTCCGATTAAGTTCACTAATAATGGAAGAATCTTGAACTTTCTTTTGGCCAAACGTGCTTGTTCTTAACAAATATAACGCAGAAATTATATCCGTAGTTAGTTAATTTGGTACTCGGTATTTCTCTTCTACAATGGTAAGACCTAGTTGACGAATAATGTTTCATTTGGACTGACTGCAAAATTGCTCCATCGAAGCCGTGTTCTAGAATCTTCTACCTCGAAGTATGTTGCGGTTTTTTTTAGTACGCCTAAGATTAAACAAACTTATGTGTTCGTGGGTGCAGATCTATCGTAGGTGATTTTGACAAAAAACCCGAACTTCTTAAGCTGTCGTGGATTAATTTTTATGTTGTTCACTGTATTGATTGAATTAGTGACATGTCTTTTGATGATAACTTAGTGATGAGGAAAAAAATAATTATACTACGGTAGTTACATGTTGTTACTCTAATATTGACTAGTCGATAAATTCGAGTGATTCGTTTAAAACTCGTTTGATCTCCATATGTTAGCGTTAAGGAACCAGTTTAGAACACATATTTTCGTTCGCCAAAAATGGTTGAGCCATTTCCTTCAAGTATTTTCCATTTCATTTTTTAAGCCCTTTTGCAGCTTGTGTTTTGATATACTCCATTCATTCTTAAATAATTGTCGTTTTTTCAGCTTTGCACAAATATTAAGAATCTCAATAAACGTGCGTTGATTTTAGGGAAAACACATAAAATAACATTGATCGTTGAACGATGTGATAAGAGTGAGTTAATACCTAGAAGTGAATAAATATGGATAAAACAGAAAAATATGTATTTAATGCAGTATTGGAACTCTAATTAATACTTATTATTGTCTTGATGAAGATGCCATTGTTTGCGGAATATCTCAACCATGCATTAAATAGTACAAGAGAATAGACTAAGACTACGTTTGTTTGCCAAGACAAGATTAATCAAAAATAAGATACTAATGAAATTCAATTGATTATTCGTTCTTGGAAGGTTCAATAAAAACATGGCTAGAAGGTAAGATAAACTATGAGAACATAATATCCGCGGATCGACCAGACAAGCTATTGGAAATATCATATATCAAATATTAAACAAAGTCCAATTATTTAATTCATAAATGGCCAATCTCCCCAACCAAACGAGGCCTTAAGAAACAACAACTACGAAACCGAAAGAAGTGCAGTTATTGGGGAGGAAGAGTTGATTCATCAAAATCACCAATCAAAAGTCCCTTCATCTTATCTTTTGCATCTTTGCTATGCCCAACATCTTCAAAATCACCTGTTGCATCCTTTCCTGCATACATACATAAATATAACTAACTTTTCTTATGATTAACTTGACTGAAATACTATTTATAGTGCGTGTTTTACTGGCTTACAGTGCGACGCGACTGTACTTCATTTGTAACATTTATTCAAAAAAGACCAAAATCATCGCAAACCCTCTTCGAACTCTCGTTAATTAAACGAGCAATTTCGACAACAAT